TATTTTATTTCTCTCACTACCTCTCTCTTTTCCTTCCTGATTTCCCAGGAGATCGCCATATTTGGGATCAGGAAGGAATTTTCCTCCAGAGCAGACTGGAAGAGGCCCTGGAGGTTTTACGCCTTCCTCTGTAGCATGAGGTACAGGTCACTTGCTGGAGGATTCTCTGCTCCTTGAAGTCTTTAAACCATGATTTGAGGACTTCAGTAGCTCAGACATAGGTGAGAGGTTTATCGCAGGAGTGGGTGGGTGAGATTCTGTGGCCTACATTGTGCCGGAGGTCAGACTAGATGATCATAATGGTCCCTTCTGACCTTAATATCTATGAACTCTGGTGTGATTAGAAAGTTCACTATCTGCAAACACTTAAAGGGGCTAGCTGAAAGTCTACATTCTGAAAACATTCTCTGACTGCTCCAGCATTCATAGACAGTGTACGTTGAAGGGTTGTGGCATAGCTAACATGAATTCATGTAAATGGCTTCTAGAAGCAGAAAACCATTCCCATTACTGGTGCAATGTGAACGCAGTGTGGCTACCATGTATCCAAAAGCTGTACCAAGGTCATAGCTTTTAAGGCTAGTGTAAGGGACCGTTACGATCATCTAGTCTGTCCTCCTTCAGAAAGGATCTCACCAGCTCAAAGGGAGATGAACACCACACCACTGACTCACTTCTGCACAGCTAGTTAGAGACACAGCCTGTTTATAAAAACAGCAATTGACAATAGGCCAAGTACTATACAGTAGAATTATTAAACCACTGACACTGAGTAAGTGTTGTGCTAGGTTATAATTGGTTTGTGCAGTTTGAGAGTTATAAAAGGAAACTGAAAACAATGTGGTCAAGAAACCACACACATACACACACTATTAATACTGCAGCCTAATTTTCATGATGGTAAGAAATGTAACAGCTGATGGAACACAATTAGGCCCTAAATCTTCAATCAGATCCATGAGGATGAAAGGATCTGCCTGGGGGGTTCCATTTGTAGGATCAGGGTTAGTTTTTGCAATGGATCAGCACTGAGAAGTCCAACGGGAGAAGGCCTCTCCCAGGCCAAGAAAGGTCTGTGGGCCTTTTCTAGATAACACTAGATACATTAGCACCATTCTTACCACCATATGTTTTGTGCAGCCAAAACTGATGCCTAAGTCAACAATACAAGGCTGAGAGTTTAGTTGGGGGATAGATGTCAAATCTTGTAAGAAGTGTTCATAATGTAATACAACCACAGAATCCGATACAGGAAAAGATTTTAGAACAAGTAGTAATAACAGCCAACTAGATATTTGTCATTTTCAAAATGGTTCCCTTATAATATATGCTTTGTATATTTTAAGCTTAAAAGTGGACATAATTAACAGTATTAATAGGGTGCCTCATACCCAAAAGTATATGGGTACCTAGCATAATATAAAACACAGAGACAATCTAGCCCAATAACTACCAGTGTTGGTGTGGGAAAAAAATAATCTACTACCAAACTGTCCAAACACAAAGAAAACACCTTTTATTAGCTTAAAATCAAAGTTTATCGGCCTCACATTCATTGTGGCAGTATCTACAACTAATCTACAATCTGGCAGTCGTGTTTGTGTGTGTATTTTATATATATACATATATATACACAAATAAAGAGAGAGAGACACACACACATACACACGTGGTATGTTTTGTTATTGTAAATATATTCATTGTGACCTGTACTTTGGATCAGTAAATATGTCAAATTACACATTAATGTTGGCATAATAGAATACAAAGATACAGACGTAGGAAAGATTACTTCCAGGACAGTGGTAAAACTAACGGTGAAATAAAGCATGCACCAGACATATACTTCTGGCCTAATTTTTTTCCCATTGAAATCAGCAGCAAAACTCATTGTCCTCAAAGAAAGAAAGATTTGTCCCTTTCTTTATCTCATCTTCAAAGCACTACTGCTAGCCAGTCTGGAAGGAGGAGTTTTGATCGTCTGGAATGGTACACAGATTGGACAAGAATATAATGAGACATAATTTTGGACAAAATATATTTCTTTCGGAAAAATGTATTTCAAGTAACACCTTCATTTACTACAAGAGAAAAAAAGCCTTCCCCACCCCTTATTTTTGGTTTGTTTACTTTAGGTAAAAAATAACACTTCAAATATAGTCAATTTCATAGATCCACTAAATGCACCCTAAGTTAGTTGATCAAATTCTCCCTTGCTGTAAAAATATCAGAGCAGAAAAACCCTTACAACATTTTCTTTCAAAGGCATTTCTAAAAATCCAAAATATACTATTTAAAGGGAGGTCTATGAACCGGAACTTTTACAGGTCAGTCAATTTAAAAAATATTCAATGACAATATTCCTCTAAATGACACTTTTGATATTTTTAATAGCATTCTTCACACACAGGATCACAAAGTACTTGACAAAAAAGATTAGAGAGAGGTTTCAAGAAAACCTGTAAATTCAGCAGGAAACACTTCCAGATTAGACACCACAAGTAAACAACAAATGAAGCCAAAATCATTTCACCATGTACACAAACCAAAAATCAGTCCATCATTCATAAATTATCATTGTAAAGCTCAAATAATTTGTTTCACAAAAGGAAGAGACTGATCATCTAGGAATATGGTGGAAATTCAAATGGCTAATGTCTGTTTTCATCCCTCATCAATATCCCTCCTCAGTTCAATGGTCCATAGGCAAGTTCTACATACAGTGAAATAGTGCATGCCTTTTTCAAAGGAATTTGAGGGTGCTAAGCCTTTCAGAAAAATCAGGCTAGTTACGATCTGGTTACTTCTTATTCCTGTGTTGATAAGATTAAGGACAGTATCACTTTTGTACCAGTGGGGGGAAAAATTCAGAAACTGCTTTTTTTCACTTTTATAACCCAAAACCAGCCAAACTCCCCCACCCCCCTCCCCCAAATGTTGGCTAAAAAGAAACTGCTGTCCATACCTCAGGAGGATTCATGCTTTTTAATCCCCCATGAGAGACTTGTTCCAATCACTATTCAGTAATAGGTGGCTCTCCTTACTTCAAGATACAGAACTGTTCTGAAATGGTTTAGTTATCTCTAAGCATCATATCACAGAAGATAAATAAGTGTTAATAAGTGCGGAGTATGATCAGGGTTTTTTTAGTTACAGTTCCTGTAAATAGCCTCTGTGAGCTATACCATCTGTAGCAATGTTTCCTCATTTATTATATCTTTCATAATAGCTGTTATAGTTTGGTAATGCCTCTAGAATAGAACAGCCTTTGCCAGAGGTTCTTTAAACTGAAATAATTCCATTTCTGGCAAAGAAAAAGTCAACACACCTTCATAGTTCTTTGAGACTTGTTGTACAAAAGGAGAATATTACAACAGAAAGATCTCATTAACAGAAACATTTATTTTTAATTACTTGTAAAAAAGACCCCAAACCAGTGACAGGAGCTCATACTTGTACCGCGGGTGTGTAGACTTAAATAGAGCCCTTTATGTAAGTGGATTTGAAACACCCTATGGTGACCTACAACATTAAATAACTCTGTCCTAGGTGCCAGCCAGCACAGAAAGAACACATAGTTGAACAGCCATGGACAAAAGGGGCTCAGAGTAGTACTGCACAATACACGAGGCAGCCTCATTTCTTCCTTCCCCCACCCTACCTACAACCAGCTCTCCCTAATGCAATCACTAACTGCCCTCGGTGACACAGGATGGGTTTCCTGCAAGCCCTTTCATAAGGCTTTGTTTAAAACATGGACACCAAGAATAGCAGATGATCCTAAGCAGCAGCAGAGTTCACAGTGAGTGGAGCTGTCATGGCTTGGATTAGAGAGCCAGGACTGGAGTGTGCATGGAGCCTGCCAGTTTTTTGTTCCCTTGAGGACGTGGTCACACAGACACACAGGAACTCTCTTCTTTCCACCATAATTTGAGACTCTCTGCCTATTCTGGGGTTGTTAAGCCTGGGAACCGGCTCCCTACAAGAAATCTGCACCCCCCACTACCAGCAGCACAAAGGTACATTACCTTGTTCATACGATCACAACCCACCTGCACTAGACACAGGTGGAGAAGGCTGGGGGCAGCAAAATAAAACCTCCCTGGACAACAGAAAGCTGGACACAGCACAAAGGGATCAGAGGGGTGGAGGGGTCACCACCCAGCCCCCTACCCACACAAAAAATATGACCCTAGCCCCCCCCCACCCACCCTCCAGACAGCCACCCCTCCCCCCCCCACACACACACACTTCACAACTCCAGGCAGGGCCAAGGGTTGGCGGCTCTTGCCTTTTTTTCCTGCAGAAAACCTGTCGATTGAAAGGATTAACCCGAGAGAGAGTCTCGCTGCTTCTTCCTCGCTAACAAGCCGGGTGGAACCGAGATAGCAAAGTACCAGAGGCGGCAGCGCCCGCCAGGCTGCATCTTCCTCCTGCGGCTGGACTTGTGCAAACCCCAGCCCCCGCCCCACACCTGCCTGCTTCTGGGGGCAGAGAAGCAGAGGGTGGGGCGGGGGAAGGGGGGGGCTGGACAAAAAGGACCCCGGGCAGTCGCAGCAATTCAGTGGAGTCACAAGAAGAGTGGGCGCCAGTGCCGCTGGGACAGGCGGCGGCGGCAATGGTGAAGTGTCACACACACACACACACACACAATGCACCCTCGCCTCTCTCCGGCGCGATTGCGGCGGGGGCGCGAAACAGCCCGAGGACGCCGCGGCTCACGGCAAGGCATTCACCGCGGGCGTGGAGGAAAAGAGGGCAGGAGAGACCCAGATCCCCCACGTCCCCTCTGGGTGCTGGGCGCCGACACCCACACAGTGGCCTAACCTACAACCCCACCTGGGGCAGCCCTAGGGCGCTGACACCCCCGTAACACACCCCGCGCGGCTGGGTCCGAGGGGCCACTGGCCGAAGTACCAGCGCCAAGTTCGTGCCCCCTCCCCGCCTTCGGAGCGATGGAGGGATGCGCAGGGTGCTGCCCGCCCGCCCCCCGCCCTTACCCGTCTGCCGCTGCAGCCTCGGCGGGGAAGGAGAGATGCTGCTGTCGCCTCCGTGCCTGCGCCGGCCGGCTGCCTCCCCAAAGCGGGCGCCTCCTGCGCCCTGCGCGGCTCCTGCGGCCGCTGGCATGGACCATGCACCGCACGCTTAGCGGCCTGGGCAGGGCGGCGGCCGCGCTCCGGGCATGGCTCCGAGCCCAGCCCCCTGCCCCGCGCAGCCAAGTGTGCACCGCTCGGGGTTTCCAGGTGGGGGTGGAGACGGGGGCGGGAGGGAGCCGCTAATCTAAGCACAAAGGCGCCATTAAGCTGCAGCGGTTTTGCCGCCGCGGACTGGCTGCCTGGAAGCGGGCGCTGGGTTTCCAGCACGCGCACGTGGGCGCCCTCTGCCGACCCCACGCTCCCACTACAACTGGCGGGATGCAGCCTCCCCTGCAGCCCCCGCAAGGCTCCCTCCCGTGGAGGCAGCCGCGGGGTTCGTTTAGAGCAGGGGTGGGCAAACTTTTTGGCCCGAGGGCCACATCGGGGTTGCAAAGCTGGATGGCGGGCCAGATAGGGAAGGCTGTGCCTCCCCAAACAGCCTCGCCTCCGCCCCCACCCACTTCCCGCCCCCTGACTGCCCCCCTCAGAACCCGCGACCCATCCAACCCCCCTGCTCCTTGCCTCCTGATCCCCGGGACCCCCCTGCTCCTAACTGCCCCCCGGGACATTACCCCCTATCCAACCCACTGTCCCCTGATTCTCCCGACCCCTATCGACACCCCCACTCCCTGCCAGGTCCCCCGGGACTCCTATGCCTATCCAACCCCCCGTTCCCCCTCCCCGATCGACCCCGCCGAACCTCCGCCCCATCCAACCTCTCCCTGTCCCCTGACTGCCCCCCAGGACTCCCATGCCTATTAAACTGTCCCCAAACCTCCACCCCATCCAACCGCTCCCTGTCCCCTGACTGCCCCCCAGGACTCCCATGCCTATTAAACCGTCCCCAAACCTCCACCCCATCCAACCGCTCCCTGTCCCCTGACTGCCCCCCAGGACTCCCATGCCTATTAAACCGTCCCCAAACCTCCACCCCATCCAACCGCTCCCTGTCCCCTGACTGTCTCCCGGGACTCCCATGCCTATTAAACCGTCCCCGAACCTCCACCCCATCCAACCGCTCCCTGTCCCCTGACTGCCCCCCGGGACTCCCACGCCTATTAAACCGTCCCCAAACCTCCACCCCATCCAACCGCTCCCTGTCCCCTGACTGCCCCCCGGGATTCCCACGCCTATTAAACCGTCCCCGAACCTCCACCCCATCCAACCGCTCCCTGTCCCTTGACTGCTTGGAAAGTACCTCCTCATCAATTATTAGGAGTGCACTACATCCACCCTGATTGAATTGGCCCTGTCAACACTGGTTCTCCACTTGTGAGGTAACTCCCTTCTCTTCATGCGTCATTATAATAATGCCTGCATCTGTAATTTTCACTCCATGCACCTGAAGAAGTGGGTTTTTTTACCCAGGAAAGCTTATACCCAAATACATCTGTTAGTCTTTAAGGTGCCACCAGACTCCTTGTAGTTTGGAAAGTGTTTCCCTTTTGCCAGCAAGGCTGGCGCTGTGTGAGGCATACCCTTTAAAACTGCCCTGATTCAAAGTGGCCGAAGTTGCCATTCCCTCTGTATCTGAACAGTGGTGCTGGAACTAGGGGTGCTGCTGGCTTGGAGTAGTAATAACAAACACCAAATACATGGTTTCCGTTATCAGCACCCCCACTATAAAAATTATTCCAGCACTCTTGTATCTGAATGCTTGGTTCCTGCACCATTTTCTCTCTTGCTGGTTCATCAAATCATTCAGCAGTGGAACAGAGACTATTAGAATTAGAAAAACAGATGCAGGATAAGAACTAGATTTGCCTGCTAGAGAAGCAGGAAGAAACGTTTATTGAGGAGCCTTGATGATTTTAACAAAAGCCAGTTTATCTCTCTCTGCACAAGCCAGAAGAAAAAGACTTCAAGAGAGGAACAGTGGCAGGAGCAGATAATCATAGACATTAGAAATGGGAAATATTCTATTAAATCAACTAGACAACATCCCTGCCACTGGGACGGAAAATGTTAGTTTTGCAAAATAGAGCAAAAAACGGTAAGGCCAGCCATGCAAGCCTACCCAAAGAACTATGAAGCCTCAATCTTTTGGAGCGCCAATGCAGGAGCTTACACTATATCCCAAAGATAAGTGGATGATGCTGTATAGGTATCACTTTCATTTACTCCCACCTTGGAGCCACCAGGTTTTGTCACTTCTATCTGCATAGGCAAAAAGACAATCTACCCCTTTTATGCCTTTCAAATACGTGTAGCCAGTTGTGTTCCCCACATAGCCTGTCAGGTTGATAATACAATGTAACCTAATTGTGCTCATATGACATGGAGTGATCAACTCACCATATAATACTGATATCTAGCTCTTTCATTGTACTTTTGGTCAGGAAATCTCAAAGGACTTACAAAGGTGGTTGGTATCATTATCCCCATTTCATAGATGGGGAAACTGAGACACAGAGACAGGATGTGACTTGCCCAAGGTGGCAAAACTGGGAATAGAACCCAAATCTTTTGTGTCCCAGTCCCACATAACAAATGCGCTGCAGTAAGAAAAGAATCTGCATTTAGCCCCAGACCCTGCAATCAGCTCTGCATGGGCAAGGCATTCTTACAGAATTTGTTGCTGGACTAGGACCTTAGATTCTAAAGTTGAACACCCCTTGTGAATATGATAAATTATTTGATTCTGTGTTACATGTTACAAAAATAAACTATAGGTACATTTAAGAAAGTTAAAAGTCTTTATTACAATGCAGAATATATTAATTTTTTACAAAACATTTTTAAAAATTTTCAGTAGTAATAATAAATAAATTCATCATCATATTTGTGCAACATACTAAAATATTACAGTTACACTTTATAATGAAAGCAAAGCACATCAAATAGGGCATATCCTACATTACTTACTCAGGAAAAATTCTCACTGAGTTCAAGTGCATTGAGCTCTTATTACCTGTCACTTTTCCGATTACGAAAAGCAATAAAAGTGCTAACAAGTTACTGTGCAAACTAATGCCTGATCCTGCAAACACATATGCATGTTCTTGACTACCATGAGACTACTCATGCTAATAAAGTTAAGCACATATGTGTTTGCAGGATTGAAACCTAAAGTCACATATTTAAACTCAAGTGTGTGTATAAATCTTTGTAGGATCAGGGCCTAAAGTATACAACTTGTTCTAATAGGAACCATATCCATATACTGTATCTAGCACATCATTCTAGATTAATACTGAAACTTATAGCTATAGATAAAAACCCTTCATTTTGTTAAAAGTGTCTATTCACTGCTAAGGTTTGGCCTTCAAAGTATGTTAAAAATTAAAGCAAGTTCTCATTGGTGCAGACAATTTTCATCTCCTTTGAAGCAATATCACATACAGTAGTTTTGGGTTTTTTTATTGCACACTGTAGTAAAGACAATGAAAATCCCACAGGACTGAATTCCATGTGAAAAGTAAGAACACAAATCAGAACTCTCTTCACAGCATTCTCTGAAAATTTTGGTTCTTTATCATTCTTTTAAATGTTTCTAAATGTATGAATTTTTGTAGTTGCTTTTCTATTCACTTTTAGCTTCTTCTCTCTAACTCTTTTATTCCTGTAGCAAAACTGTTGCATTTCTCTTGTGCAAATGACAGAGCAGCAGGAAGGGTGGCAAGATTAAAAGAGCCTGCATAGGGATTGAATACTTCTGTGTGTGTGGCTCATAGCTGAGGAGGCTCCCTGCAGGCTGCTATGCAGCAGGCATTTTGGGTTAGCAGTAGGCTGATGGATTTAATGATACAAGGATACTGTAGCTCACGTACGCTCAGATAAATTTGCTAGTCTCTAAGGTGCCACAAGTACTCCTTTTCTTTTTGTGGATACAGACTAACACGGCTGCTACTCTGAAGGATACACTAGCCATTCCTCAAGCTGGGGCTGGACCAGCAATCACAGAAAATTCCAACTCCTCAGCTCACAGCCTGGCTGCAGAGGATATATGTTGGATCCAAGATTTTAGCCATAAGAAAAAATCATATTCAAGGACACAAGTATATACTTTGGGTGTTGTCCCACAGTCTTTACACAGGGAAAACTCCAACTGAGGTCAAGGGGAATTTTGCCTAAAGATTGTGGGATCAAGCTTTTTAATTCTATCTGGAGCAGTTAAAATGCCTTGAGAAAAAAAAATTAAAAATAAAAATCTATTTATAGACACCATAATGATTGCAGAATTCTCTCGGCACTCTTTTGTTCTTTAAGGGCTCTATGTCATTATGGTTAGGACAATAAAATACAGACCTAAGGAATTACTATTTAAAAGTATTTTCCCATTTTTTCAGCAGGGCGTAATAGCATAAAACTCTATCTAGAAGCTGTGGCTTCTATTACATTTAATTACTTCTCCCTTTCATAGATTCCAAGGCCAGGCCTAAGTTCAACGGGACTATCTGAATGAGTAAAGTTACTCACACATAAGTGTCTGCAGGATAGGGTCCTCAGTGAGTTCCCCATTTGTAGAGTTTTTCACACAAAAAATAAAGAAGAGAATTAAAAAAAAAATAGAAAAACAACTGTAAAACCATAACAGTTTGTAGCGGGGCTCAGGCACAAGTGTAATAACTGAAATTACTTCTCACTCGTGTTTTTGAGTTTACTGTATTTCAAGTTGATGCTACTCCTTTAAATTAAAGGTGGCTGTTATTAAATTTAATTGGTTTCACTTACAGTTTGTATGTTATTGGTGCAGCTACTAAATAAGGGTGATTACTAAGCCAAGCTGGCTTCTAAATGAAGACATATGGTATGTGAACTTTGTGGTTTCTGACTTCCTGGCTTATCAAAATATACAGCTAATAATGCTAACATGTCTTTAACACAAGGCAGCCATTACAGAATTCTGTCCACTCTCTCTAATAGAGCTCCCCCAGAAGAGCTGGATGGGGTGAGGGGGAAATCATTTAAAAAGTAAGATCTTAGTGGATTCATGTAAAAAGCAAAATATTTGGTTTTCACCTTGAATACTTTTTGTTAAAACAAAAGGCTATTTCCCATGGGAAACACTGTCAGTTTCTAGTGAAATAATAGTTTCCATCAAGGGTAAAAACATGATTATGTTTTGGGAAAAATTTCATATTCTCCCCTGACAAAAGTAGTGTTCTCTGGTAAACACACAAAAACTGCACTCTGCATGACATTTACAAATATTGGAGGAAATATGCGCTTTCACAAATAAATGTTTGCAAAGTGAAAATTGGAGGTTTCACTCGGCGCTGGTTTCCATTTAACTTAATTTAGCCTATGCCTCAGTCATATATTATGGTAACTAGCCCAATTCAACAGTTCTTACTCAAGAAAAAGTCAGCATTGTCTTCAAAGAGCTACTGATTTGCCCCCAGTGACGTAGCCTGGAATTGTAACTTGTTATTTCTTAAGAACTAGGCAGAACAAGCTTCATGGTAAGAAATCTACCTAACTGGTAATTAAAGAAGCATATTATGATGTTCCATTTGTTGTTTTTGTTTTTCTTGGTCATTGATTTATTATTTTAAAACTATTTCCTATATGCCTTTTTCTTATTTAATGCAATACTCTTTATGCCTAGAACTACCTATATTTTTACAATATATTTTACCATAGTGGAAGGTGTAGTCTAAGAATTTTAAGAGATTAGGTAAGTACTAGATTTGGGAGATCATCTCATATCTAAATTCAATCATTATTTAGTAATCTCTGAGTACAGAGTAGATAAAAAATCTAAATTTCAAAAAAATTAGTTTTATGCAAGCTAAAATTTAAAGTTACATACAATATTCTCTCTGCAATTAACATTACTCTACTTTTAATTAAAAATGGTCTTTGGCATATATATATAAAGCATAAAAATAACAAACAAACATACAATACTTATGTCAAAAACAATTATTATTATTATTACTATAGTACTACAAAGCGCATGTGCAATAAAAAAAGTACTTTTGAGTCACCATTCTAGCTTCATATCTGCTTTACTCCACACATATTTTCCTCCTCGACTCAGAAACATCTTCTCATCAAATCCACTGAATTTTATAGCATGTTCTACGCCTACATCCAGGATAGATTTGGAAGGCTCTTTCCGTCCATTTCTACAGTTCAGAAAACGCATCTAGAAAATTCATAGATTAAGAAAATTAGAAAGTGGCTAAAAGTGGAGTATTTCTACAAAATTAAATAACTTAAGCCCCAATCCTGTGAAGTCTCATGCACATGGTTAGCTCTGCGCATGTGAGTAATTCCACTGAAGCCAATGAAACTACTCGCAAGTGTAAAGTTAAGCACGTGAGTAAATCTTTGCAGGACCAGGTCTTTTTTTTCTCCTAAAAGATGGTACAAAGAGAGTTAGAAAATATCCTGCTTAGTTTACATATAGGTAAAGAATACACATTCCCATACAAATTAGTTCTGCAAATTGGACTTCACAGTGAAGATCAAATATAACAGATATGTAAACTATGATCCTGATCCTGCAATTGGTTGCATGCAGGTGGACCCCTATGCACTTGTGAAGCTGCTCACTCAGGTCCATTTGCAGGATCAGGTCCTGTGTTTGACTTGTCTAAATGTTTATGATGATGAATGCAATTTCCTTGCATCCACATGTAGCAGGCCACTCTTTCAGAAACGTGTGGAAAGTGCTGTATGGGGTAAACATTAAACTGAAATAATTGTAGGTTAGCCTGCTAAACCATGAATAATAGCATAGCCCATATTAACTGATAGACAAATATTAACTCATTAAGTAGCAAATAAAAACTTACATATTCATCCAGAATGAGGTATGAGTCTCTCATCTGTAAAAGCATAGAAAAAACTATAAATTACTAAACAAACTAAAATCTATGTTTTTACTGAAAGTTAGGGAGAAATAAGGTATAGGCATAATAAGTATCCATTCCCTTAGGGCTTGATCCAAAGTCCTTTGGAATCAGCTGGAGTCTTTCCATGCACTTTGATGAACTTTGGATCATGCCCTTAGTGAGTAGCAGATAGAGAACCATGAAGGTGGCTTTTTATGAAAGAACAAATTGTTGCTAGACAACCATTTTTTGTTTGGTTTAAGGATCAGATTGAAACATGGGTGCTCAAATGGATACAGGTGCTTTTAAAATATATCCAACCACTTTTACTTAAACGTTCACATCAGCACTTAGATATGTACAGGGAATATCCATTTTACATGTTTAAATGATTTTATGAAATTCAAAAGGAAGGATGTGGCCCATTATGGCACCCACATTTGAAAACTGGGCTCCGAATTTAAAAAAAAACTTATCTATTAAAATGTAACCATCCTTATATGTTGTGATCTGGCACTAAATTCCTCCAGATTCTGTCTTTTTTGTTTTGTTTTGATTTAAATTCACTACGTAGGTTTTTGCTTAGAAAACCTAACCTATTACTGTTACTCTACTGATATTTTGAATGTCCCCATCTACCTTAGTACCACCGACATTGCCTGGTCCAGCTACCATAGAAATCAATTGCAAAATTCCCACCGATTTCAATGGGGGCAGAATTGGGCTCCACAACTGTAAGTGTTGTAAGTTGTTATCACAACTGTGATAACACCATCCTGGCTACTATGGATGTAGAAGCCCTCTACACCAACATTCCACACAAAGATGGACTACAGGCCGTCAAGAACACTATCCCCGATAATGTCACGGCTAACCTGGTGGCTGAACTTTGTGACTTTGTCCTTACCCATAACTATTTCACATTTGGGGACAATGTATACCTTCAGATCAGCGGCACTGCTATGGGTACCCGCATGGCCCCACAGTATGCCAACATTTTTATGGCTGATTTAGAACAACGCTTCCTCAGCTCTCGTCCCCTAAAGCCCCTACTCTACTTGCGCTATATTGATGACATCTTCATCATCTGGACCCATGGAAAAGAAGCCCTTGAGGAATTCCACCATGATTTCAACAATTTCCATCCCACCACCAACCTCAGCCTGGTCCAGTCCACACAAGAGATCCACTTCCTGGACACTACAGTGCTAATAAACAATGGCCACATAAACACCACCCTATACCGGAAACCTACTGACCGCTATTCCTACCTGCATGCCTCCAGCTTTCACCCTGACCACACCACACGATCCATCGTCTACAGCCAAGCTCTGCGATACAACCGCATTTGCTCCAACCCCTCAGACAGAGACAAACACCTACAAGATCTCTGTCAAGCTTTCTTACAACTACAATACCCACCTGCAGAAGTAAAGAAACAGATTGATAGAGCCAGAAGAGTTCCCAGAAGTTACCTACTACAGGACAGGCCTAACAAAGAAAATAACAGAACGCCACTAGCGGTCACCTTCAGCCCCCAACTAAAACCCCTCCAACGCATTATTAAGGATCTACAACCTATCCTAATGGATGACCCAACACTCTCACAAGTCTTGGGAGACAGGCCAGTCCTTGCCTACAGACAGCCCCGCAACCTGAAGCAAATACTCACCAACAACCACATACCACACAACAGAACCACTAACCCAGGAACTTATCCTTGCAACAAAGCCCGTTGCCAATTGTGCCCACATATCTATTCAGGGGACACCATCACAGGGCCTAATCACATCAGCCACACTATCAGAGGCTCGTTCACCTGCACATCCACCAATGTGATATATGCCATCATGTGCCAGCAATGCCCCTCTGCCATGTACATTGGTCAAACTGGACAGTCTCTACGTAAAAGAATAAATGGACACAAATCAGATGTCAAGAATTATAACATTCATAAACCAGTCGGAGAACACTTCAATCTCTCTGGTCACGCAATCACAGACATGAAGGTCGCTATCTTAAAACAAAAAAACTTCAAATCCAGACTCCAGCGAGAAACTGCTGAATTGGAATTCATTTGCAAATTGGATACTATTAATTTAGGCTTAAATAGAGACTGGGAGTGGCTAAGTCATTATGCAAGGTAGCCTGTTTCCTCTTGTTTTTTCCTACCCCCCCCCCAGATGTTCTGGTTTAACTTGGATTTAAACCTGGAGAGTGGTCAGTTTAGATGAGCTATTACCAGCAGGAGAGTGAGTTTGTGTGTGTATGGGGGTGGGGGGGATGTGAGAAAACCTTGATCTATGCAGGAAATAGCCCGACTTGATTATGTAAAGAGTTGTCACTTTGGATGGGCTAGCACCAGCAGGAGAGTGAATTTGTGTGGGGGGGTGGAGGGTGAGAAAACCTGGATTTGTGCTGGAAATGGCCCACCTGTTGATCACTTTAGATAAGCTATTACCAGCAGGACAGTGGGGTGGGAGGAGGTATTGTTTCATGATTTCTGTGTGTATATAAAGTCTGCTGCAGTTTCCACGGTAAACATCTGATGAAGTGAGCTGTGGCTCACGAAAGCTCATGCTCAAATAAATTGGTTAGTCTCTAAGGTGCCACAAGTACTCCTTTTCTTTTTGCGAATACAGACTAACACGGCTGTTCCTCTGAAACCTGACAACTGTAAGTATCCCAGTTTTATGTGCTTTTCACTCCATATGGAATAGATTTTTTTTTAAATTCTCCAAATATAAAAAAAAACCAGCTCCTAAAGGAATTTGTCTAACTCTAAGTAAGTATTAGTAAGCAAAGCATTAGCAATCATGCTATTTTCTAGTTTCTGATAATAAAGAATTATCAAAGAATAGCTTAATTTTACCTTCTGATTAGATTCTGGAACTAAACATGAGAGCTCTCTATGGCCATCTAGGAATCGTTCAAAATCTTCATCGCTGATAATAAATTTCTCTGCTTCTCTCAGTGCACCTTCACCTGTATTCTCTCCTTCAATGAGCAGGCATTGGAATACCTGAAAGACAGAAAGTATATGATGAAGGTTGTCAGGTATCAGAGGGGTAGCCATGTTTGCCACTTTTAAAGATCCAGACTAAGAGTCCTGTGGCACTTTATAGACTAACAGACGTATTGGAGCATAAGCTTTCGTGGGTGAATACCGAGGTATTCACCCACGAAAGCTTATGCGCCAATACGACTGTTAGTCTATAAGGTGCTACAGGACACTTTGCTGCTTTTACATGATGAAGGTTGTATATCTGTCATAATTACCATGGGAAAAAACAAAACATAAACCCCACCATGACTGAGAGGGCCTGGGTCTCTCTTTTCACAGTGGTTTCAACTGGCTGAATCTTCAGTGAAGTCAAGGAGCCACACCAGCATACCATGGAGTGTAAAACCAGCATAAATGATAGACGCTAATAGGGTGAAATCCTGGCCCCACTAAAGTAAATGGGAGTTTTGCCATTGACTTCAGTGGGGCCAAAATTTCTCTCATAGTTTTTTTCCTAGAGATCAAACTGCTTGATCTCCCACTCTGTTACACCAGTGTTATGCTGGTTCAATTACATTTATTTCAATGGAATTAAAATGCTGCAAACTAGTGTAACAGAGTGGAGGATCAGGCTCTAACTATTGAGAAAGACTCTTCCATGCATCTTTGAACATTTAAAAGCATGCAAGTCTTACAAGATTTTAAACTACTTAGGACAGCTATTTAACACTTTTCTAATGAAAAATATACTTAATAATAATTAATATTGTGTATTCAGACTTCTTCCTTTTTTCAAAGTAACATGACATTTTCAATTTTTTTCCCTATGAAAAAACACGATGTTCCCTATATGTCCCAAAATTACCAGACTTCTGTATGGTGAAAAAATATTTCCTTGTAAATAACACGAAAGGGCAAATTCTCGACTGTATCTGAGTGTCACTCAAATGCAGTGAGGGAGGTGGCCTGTCTGGGAATTGGTTATGGATCCCTGATACTAAGTGCCATCATAAATTAGAGCCACAGCTCTATCTCACCCAACTGGAAGATCAGTCATAGCAGAGCTCTGCTCTACCATGCCCCCTTCCTGGAGGGTTGCCAACTTTCTAATTGCACAAAACCTTTGTCCCGCTCTTCTCTGAGGTCCCGACCCCGCTCACTCTACCCCCCCCCCCCCGCATCGCTTGCTCTTCCCCACCCTCACTCATTTTCACTGGGCTGGGGCAGAGGTTTGGAGTGCAGGAGGGGTGAGGGCTCCAGCTGGGGGTGCAGGTTCTGGGGTGAGGCCAGAAATGTGGGGTTCAGGGTGTGGGAAGGGACTCCAGGTTTGGGCAAGGGATTAGGAAATGGGAGGGGGTGAGGGCTCCAGCTGGGGCCAAGGGGTTCATAGTATCAGAGGAGGCTCAGGGCTGGGGGAGGGGTTTTGGGTGAGGGGGTGTGGGCTCTGGAGTGGGGCCAGGGATGAGGGGGTTGGGGTGCAAGAGGGGGCTCTGGGCTGGGGCCGAGAGGTTTGTAGTATGGGAGGGGACTCCGGGCTGGGGCAAGGGATTGGGGTACGGGAGGGGTTCAAGGCTCCGGCTGGGGGTGTGGGCTCGGGGGTGGGGCCTGGGATGAGGGGATTGGGGTACAGGAGGGGGCTCAGGGCTAGGGCAGAGGGTTGGGGTGTGGGAGAGGGTTTGGGGTATGGGAGGGGGTTTCAACCTGGAGCTGGGGTGTGGGAGGAGGTTCAGGGTGCAGGCTGTGGCCGGCTGGCGCTTACCTCAGGCGGTTCCCGTAAGCAGCCAGCATGTCTGGCTCCTAGGTGGAGGGGCCGGGGGCTCGGCTCCCTGCCCATGCCCGCAGGCACTGCTCCCACAGGTCCCATTGTCCACAGTTTCCGGGCAATGGGAGTTGTGGAACTGACGCCAACGCTCCAGGCTGGGGCAGCGCATGGAGCCCCCATGGACATCCCTGTGCCTAGGAGCCAGACATGCGGCCACTTTTAGGAGCCATGCGGAGCCAGCACAGGCAGGGAGCTTGCCTTAGCCCTGCTGCGCCACTGACCAGACTTTTATAGGCGCAGTCAGCACCTGGAGCTGCCAGGGTCCCTTTTCAACCAGGCGTTCCGGTCGAAAACCGGACGCCTGGCAATCCTACCTTCCTGCTTCTCCCCTTTCCCTGAGAAGAGAACATGTAGCACTGTATTTCTTGCTTACCTTCCATCGGACAGGATTTAGTGCCTTAATCTGTTCATTCATATCTTCGTGAACATTAAATCTATTAATTACTGAATTTAATTTAAAAGCCACAGCATAATCTCGGCACCACTTTCTCAGTCTTTGGAGATTCTCAATGTGGTTCTTGTTTCCTTGTCCACGGCCAATTAAAACATTGACTTCCTCATCAAAACTATCACAGGAAACTGCAAGAATGTCTAGGTAGTCACCTGAAACAGACAAAACATTAAATAATATTCAATGTCTGTAGTAAAGAGTCATTAACTGCCCAGCTCTGCCATCTTCCATCTGCAAGTACACCCTCAAAACCCATCACGAGGAACCCTACCAAAAAGGATTCCACGTGGTCACGGGAGGACTGGAGAGCATCTCAAAGGTGATACACCCCTTTTCTACACAGACATGGGGACGCCTTGAGCTAATGTTTTTAAAGTCAGTCTAAATACCTCTGATTTAAAAGTACACATAAGAGTATTTGGTTTTGTTTACGTTTACTGTAAATGTATTATTAACAAAAATATCTACAGACAGACACCTTACTATAAAGTTGAATTGAGAAGACTCCTGAAACCCGTGCATCTTTTTAAACATACACATCGTTCTTTCTTACCGTAACGCTTGAACCATCGTTCTCTAATCATGCTGCCATTGCTCACAATGCTGACACTTGACAGTTTTAGTTCCTGCTTGCAAAACTGGACCAATTTGCCCACAAATTCTCCTCTCTCTTGCAGAAATGGCTCTCCTCCTGAAAAGTTTATTTTTTCCATACCTAGTATTTGACAAAAAAGAGAAATACTATTTAGATTGGATAAATTTAAGTTTTGGGAACTTTTTCTCACAACATATGCACAGAAGAATACAGATGATTTGCACAGATATACTAATGGTGAGCCACAGTCCATAGACTCCCCTTGAGTTCAATAAACTGTTCCAAAAATGTATGAAGAGGGGAAACCCCTTTTTCTGCTAAAGTTTTGCTACGATTTTCATAAATGTATGAAATTTCCATTGACTTCAATAGAGCCAAGTTTTCACCCCTTGTCTCTATTCACTGTGTAAAGTACCATGCACATTATTGTACAGAAGATATTTAAAAATCATTAAAATTATAAGGCAAATATTTTCAAACCTGGGTATCTGAAAAGATACTCCTAAATCCACTTTTAGATACTTTATTTATTAATTTAGCAGGCTATCTTCAGGCACTTAAGCTTTGAAAATGTGGGCTAATATAATAATCAATCCTCTTTGCTTGTAAGCCAGACCTTTACCAGTCAGATTTGCATCCCCACGTTTAGATGATATCAGCCTCTACTGCAGTTTTTTGTATCTTTTCACATTTAAGGCAGCGACTAGATTTTAACTTTCAGGCGCTGTCTGAGCTCCCTCCTAGTTGAACCAAAACTAAACATATTCGTCTGAAATGGCAAAGGAGATTTATTGTTTTTTTTTACCAGGGAGAACTTTTGGCTACATTTTATGAAGATGCCAAACAGCAGCACTACTCCAAATGTGTCCCATATACTGTACTTCCAGTACTTTTTCAGCACATGACTGAATAAGGAGAGAACTGGAGCCTGAACCTACTCTGCTGGGCTTCTTTAGGTCTGGATCACAGCTTTAATTCAGGGGTAGTGGAGAAAGGTGCCGAGGGAGGGAGAATTGGGAAAATTCTTGATCAAAAAGGGGGAATTTTGTCAATTCCCCTCCCCATGAAATTCAGCATTTGGACAATAAATTTAAAATAAATAATAATAATAATAATTAATAATAACAATCAATCAGAATTTGGACCATGTCAGAGTATTTGCTGCACTAATTGGATGACCCAGCCAGGCGGGGAGCGGATGCCCTGAGTCTACAGCCCCGGTCCCAGCAGCGGAGTTCACCCCGGAGATCCCAGGGCCAGCAGTGGGGCAGACTCACCCGCCTCCTTGAGCATGGTCAGCCCCCTCCTGGCTTCCTCGAGGGGCAGCACGAAGGAGGTCTTGGCCGTGTGGAAGCAGAAGCCGCAACGGTAGTTGCACTGGCGGGTGAAGTGATAGTTGACGCTGGTCGGAACCGTGGGCACCTCGGCGCCATCCGGCTCCCCAGCGCCCTCCTCCAGCAGCGGGGGGCTCCTCCCGGGCAGCAGCGCCCCCCGGAGCCAGCAGGAGAAGGGCGCCAGGCAGAGCCACAGGGCGCTCAGCTGCGCATGGAGGACCCGGAGCAGCATCGCCAGCGCCTGGGGCAAGGTGCGCATCTCGGCGAGGTGCATGGCGCGGCGAGGCTGCAGCGCTCTGGGGCGCAGGGCAGGGGCGCGGGCTCCATTTAATAGCGGGGAGCATGTGACAGGCGCTGCTGGCTGGGGGAAAGGAAGGGGCAGTTTCGGTTTCCTTTATGGAGAAGCGAAACTTGGCTCCCGGTTGCGGCAGCAGGCGAGGTGTGTGGAGCCCGCGGCGAGCCCGTTTACAATGGGCCACCCCCACTCCCTGCCTGGTTCCCGCTGCTGTGCATCCCCCTCCCCACTTTGGGGCCCTGCTCAGGCCCGTGCCTGGCTCCCAAACAGGCGCTTGGGAAATATGCCCGACTTCTGGTTTCAGCTGGTTAGTGCCCTGCTTCCCATCCACACCAACGGAGCGGTTCCCGCAGAGCTATCCTACACCCCTGATTGCATCGGACGTGCTCCCTCCCCCTGGACATCCCCTAGGCGACCCAGGGGGTGTCTGCAAACCGCAGTCCAGCCAGCAGGTGTGATTGAGGCGTGTGCGTCTTCACAGCTGACCATAAGGGGCGGGATGCCCTCGGCCTCTAAAGCAGCTGGGCGCTGTGCTGCTGGCCCATAAGGAGAATCATTCTAGCCTGGGCTCCTCTCTCTCCTGCTCTCCCCCCGCCTGAGGATTTTCTGTTATAAAGGCCCTCTCTAGGGGTGCTCACAGCTGGCACAAATTAATACAGCCTCAGAGGACCAGTCCAAGGCAGAGTTGCCTCAAGCTTGGAGAAGTGGCACAAAATTTCTAGTCACCCTACCTCCCAACCTGTGTGCCAATCTCGAGCTGAGGCTTGGAGTTAGGGTGACCGGATGTCCAGATATTAGGGGCTTTGTTTTATATATGCAAATATTCTCTCCCCCCCCACACCCCGGAAAAAAAAAGTGTCCCTTTTTTCACACTTGCTATCTAGTCACCCTGCTTGGGGCCAGAGTGTTTAATTTCCCACACCACTTTATGGCTCCCAGGCCATCAATATTTTCTCTCAGCTAACATTTTCACACAGAAGTTGGTCCAATAACTTACCTTACCCACCTTGTCCTGGGACTAAGATAGCTACAACAACACTGCAAACAATTTTCAGAGGGATACATAAGAAGGTTAGGAGTATGGTGGATTAATTTTGTTCAGACAATGAATAATTCCAGGGCTGTATTACCTACTAGCACTTAATGTTTATTTGAAACAAAGGCTCACTGATGTGGGGGAGGGAGGGAGTTTAAAAATGCAAATGTCCCATAAGAAGACTGTCAGAGTTAGCCAAAATGTTCTCATTTTCTAAAATCTTCTCTACACCCTGCTTGTGAAATGAAAATTACAAATGCTTTCTTCATTTTTACCATCAATACATTTTCTGAATATGGGTTTGGACCACATACCCAGAATTACCTACTAGGGCTATACTTCACAGCTCTAGCATAGCAAAACCCACATCCAAGTTTGCATACCTGACCTCAGCAAATCCTACTTCAAATGTTATATATAGCAGCAGTAACAGTATTGGATATTGGATCTGGTAAACAAAACAAGGTATTTGGTGTACCTATGTGCATGTTGGTTACCAAAACATTCTTCCAGCTCAAACATTCACCAATGCATGAGCAATGCAGGAAAAACACAAGTGTACTTTTGTGTATAATGTACTTCTCTAAAATGTTTTTTGCAAGCAACGACTGTAATAGTCTTTTTTCTGCATACAACGTTCTAGTGTAGGCTCAAAAAAAAGAGTATAAAACTACCTGGACTTTTGACAATGTTAAACACCAGGGGCCTGATTCTCTCCCTATTGACTTCAGTACAAGTTACTTATATCCTGCAGGGGAAGAATCAGTCCCTTGCACACAAAGTGTCTCAGATCAAGTCTGGCTATGTTCAAGCAGGTGGGTGAGTGTACAAAAAAAATTGGAAAGTAAATATATGTTCCAGAAAAGATAATTGAATAATGCATGCATTGTGTACCCAGTGATCTGCCTTACAGCCTCAGCAAAGGTGGCTTGGGAGGCATCTCCTGATGAACAGCGCACCCACATATGTGAATGCAGTTTACTCCCTAAGTGCTCCAAAAGAGAAAAACACCAGTGTAAGATAGGGATTTCATGGACCATGTCTCATTCCATTCCTGACTACGTGGGCTTACCACCAGTTCCAGATAACATCCCTATGAGAAAAACAGTTTAGTATCATCTGCAAACTTTGCCACCTCGCTGTTTACCCCTTTCCCACAGATCATTTATGAATAGGTTGAATAGGATTGGTCCTAGGACTGACCCTTGGGGAACACCACTAGTTAGCCCTCTCCATTCTGAAAATGTACCATTTATTCCTACCCTCTGTTCCCTGTCTTTTAACCAGTTCTCAATCCATGAAAGGATCTTCCCTCTTATCACATGACAACTTAATTTACGTAAGAGCTTTTGGTGAGAGACCTTGTCAAAGGCTTTCTGGAAATCTAAGTACACTATGTCCACTGGATTCCCCTTGTCCACATGTTTGTTGACCCCCTCAAAGAACTCTAATAGATTAGTTAAGACATGGTCTCCCTTTACAGAAACCATGTTGACCTTTGCGCAACAATTTATGTTCTTCTATGTGTCTGACAATTTTATTATTTACTATTGTTTCAACTAATTTGCCCGGTACTGACATTAGACTTACCAGTCTGTAATTGCCAGGATCGCCTCTAGAGCCCTTCTTAAATATTGGCATTAGTGCAGTAGTGCCTTTCTCCAGTCATCCAGGACCTCCCCCGATCGCCACAAATTTTCAAAGATAATGGCCAATGGCTCTGCAATTGCATCAGCCAACTCCCTCAGCAACCTTGGATGCATGAGATCTGGACCCATGGACTTGTGCATGTCCAGCTTTTCTAAACAGTTCTTAACCTGTTCTCTCACCACTGAGGGCTGCTCACCTACTCCCCATGCTGTGTTGCCCAGTGCAGCAGTCTGGGACCTGCCCTTGTCTGTGAAGACCGAGGCAAAAAAAAGCAGAGTACTTCAGCTTTTTCCACAGCATCTGTCACTATGTTGCCTCCCCCATTCAGTAAGGATCCCACACTTTTCCTGACCTTCTTCTTGTTGCTAACATACTTGTAGAAACCCTTCTTGTTACCCTTCACATCCCTTGCTAATAGGGTGACCAGATGTCCCATTTTTATAGGGACAGTCCTGATTTTTGGGTCTTTTTCTTATATAGGCTCCTATTACCCCCCACCCCATCCCGATTTTTCACACTTGCTGTCTGGTCACCCTACTTGCTAGCTGCAACTCCAATTTGTGCCTTGGCCTTCCTGATTACACCTCTGCATGCTCTAGCAATATTTTTATACTGCACTTAGGAAGGAAGATCCCATGCACCGCTATAGGCTGGGGACTGACTGGCTCAGCAGCAGTTCTGCAGAAAAGAACCTGGGGATTACAGAGGACGAGAAGCTGGATATGAGTCAGCAGTGTACCCTTGTTGCCAAGAAGGCCAATGGCATATGGGCTGTATTAGTAGGCGCACTGCCAGCACATCGAGGGAAGTGATTATTCCCCTGTATTCGGCTGGTGAGATCACATCTGGAGTACTGCGTCCAGTTTTGGTCTCCCCACTACAGAAAGGATGTGCACAAATTGGAGACAGTCCAGCGGAAGTCAACAAAAATGATTAGGAGGCTGGGGCAGATGACTTACAAGGAGAGGCTGAGGGAACTGGGCTTATTTACTCTACAGAAGAGAAGAGTGAGGGGGGATTTGACAGCAGCCTTCAACTACCTGAAGGGGGGTTCCACAGAGGATGGAGCTAAGCTGTTCTCAGTGGTGGCACAACAAAGAGCAATGGTCTCAAGTTGCAGTGGGGGAGCTCTAGGCTGGATATTAGGAAACACTATTTCACTGGGAGGGTGGTGAAACACTGCAATGGGTTACCTAGGGCAGTGGTGGAATCTCCTTCCTTAGAAGTTTTTACGGTCAGGCTTGACAAAGCCCTGGCTGGGATGATTTAGTGGGTGTTGGTCCTGCTTTGAGCAGGGGCTTGGGCGAGATGACCTCCTGAGGTCTCTTCCAAGCCTAATCTTCTATGATTCTATGGTTAAGGGCGTGTGGCGGGGCACCTTGGCAACCAATGCAGTCAGACCTCTGAGCTGGGAACATAAACACTCCCGCTGCAAACACGGGACTCCCAATCCCTTGCAACCTGGACGAGTTTCGTTTCTTTCGTCACAACTGCTTGTTTTCAAAGATGTTGTCATCGCCTAATGTGCAAACAGATCCGTACAGCCTCCCAGTCGTCCCCCCCCTTTTTTTTTTTTTCTAGTTTTGTGTGGTTTCCCAGCAGCAGCAAGGGGGCTGGGTTTCTCTGAAGTGGTTGCTCTGCAGAAGAGCGAAGAGCCTGCTGCTGCCGCTGCTGGCTAGAAAAGCTGGCCCCGCAGCCCAAACGATAGCAGTACCTTTGGTTTTCAGCTCCAGTACAAGCCCGGCTGACAGCTGGAGGGCTGGGCGGGTAACAAACTACCCGCTCGCTTTCGTTTCCCCCCCGCGCCGCCTTATCGGGTTTCCCTGCCCCCGCAGGTGCCATGGAGGGGGCGGAGAGGCCTTGGCGCCCGCTCGGTTTCGTTTCTCCGAGCAGCTGTGGCGGGGCGCTCAGCGCGGGATGCTCCGCCGCAGCCGCCTGGCCAGCCTCACGCTGCTGCTGCCCCGCTCGCTCTCCGCCATGGCGGCGCCTCCCGCGGGCTGCTCCGCCCAGGCGCGACCGTGCTTCGCTGTGGAGGGGCCCGGCTCGGACCTGGTCTGCTTCACCCTCAGCGGCAGCGAGGGCGCAGGCGGCAGCGGCCGCCCCCTGCCCCGCTGCTTTCTGCCGGCTCCGGCGCGGTGCTATTCCCTCTGCGTCCCCGCCGCCCCTAGCGTCCCGGCGGCCAGGCTGCACCGGCGTTTGCGGCAGAGGCTGAGGCAGGGGCCGCTCGGGAGGTGCCGGGTCCTGGGGCTCCTCTGCTACAGCGCCCCCGGGGGGCAGGCTGCGCTGGAGAAGGGCTTCCTCATCCAGGACCCGCAGGGAGGCGCGGAGACCGAGCGCGCCCTGGA